AGATCAACGTGAACTCAATAGCTACCATACACTCGAATGTAATTCACACCAGTTTTACACACCACAACCTAGTCTCTAAGTCACTCACGTACAACCAAGAACTGAGGACAATGACTCCAAAGAAGGCGTAGTAGTGTAGCGTATTCAAAACCTTACTCATTCATCTTACAGTTTCGCCTAACCTCTTCGTTGTCCAGCCTTACTGTTTATCAGTTATCTTTTGATATTAAATGTAAGTACATCCTGTGTACCTACTAAGTAGTCGGGCTCACTTTTCTTCCCTTCCTTTCTTTTCTTTTCCAGATTCTCTTGACCACCACCAAACTCACAGTACTCTGGGTGCCCCCCTAGAACAACGTGACCAGTTCAACAGTGTGTGACATCAAATGTCGACTGCTCTCTTGGGACTTCTCTTGTAGACGATAGGAATGAGTGGTTGAGGACCGTCACAATAGTGGAAAAGTCGTCACTCCCTCACATTTTCTATAAGCATGTTTGTACTACTACTACTACTACTACTCTACAGTGTATGGTAAATCGATCCCATTAGTGTATCTTCCTGTCTAGTAGAGCATCACACATCAGTAGTCAGGAATTTTATTGATTTCAATCATACTGTGTAGCGTAAAATTTTCATTACACCTTCAATCTTCATCCAGTATAACCACGACTATTATCTCAAATAGTCGAAGTGATAAAAAGGAACAGATTATCCCTTGTACTGGATAACGACGTTCCCGATGTCAACCATTATTCATATTCAGTCCTTGTCAAACTCCCCAAGAAGGGAGACCTCAGTGTTTGGAAGAACTGGCGCGGAATCACTCTCCTGTCCATCCAGTGCAAGCAAAATATCAGGCCTCATCATCCTGGAGAGACTAAAGGATGCGCCAGATTCAAAACTACGACCGGAACAGACAGGCTTCAGGAAATACAAATCATGTGCGTACCAAATTGCAACGCTACTCTACGCATCATCATAGAACAGAGTATAGAATGGCAGTCAACACTCTATCTCACCTCAACTTCATCGACTTTGAAAAGGCCTTTGACAGCGTCGACCGAGAGATAATTTGGAAACTGCTTCATTACTACGCAGCACCGCAAACCTTTATCAGCCTCATTCAACAACTATATGAAGACGCTATATGCAAAGTAATTCACAATGAGAAGCTCAGTGATGCTTTTCAAGTGAAGTGAAGACAGGAGGGAAACAAGGTTGCTGTCCATTATCACCCATGATATTCCTGATTCCAGTCGACTGGATCATGCAACAAACAGTGAGGGTCGAGAAGAGGGGGATACGCTGGACTGCGGAAAAGAACCCAGAAGATCTGGATTTCGCCAGTGATGACTTGTGCCTGATGTCACACAAACTTGAAGATCTACAGGCAAAAACTAACAAGTTGGCAGAACAGGCACAGCAGCGAAGACGCGACTTCAGGTGAATATAGAGAAGACAGAGGTGATGAAGATACCGCATTACCAACAAATCCAACAACAAACTCCAATCACCATCAACGGGAGAAACTTAAAGGAAGTAGCCTCTTTCACCCACCCACCTAGGAAGCACTGTTTCAACTACAGGTGGCACAGACGAGGATGTCAAAGTCAGAATTGGAAAGACAGTAAGACAGGCGTTCATTAGCCTGAAACGGTGTGAAGATGTTCTGCACTCAGCATAAAGCATAAACAAGATCCGGATTTTCAACACCAATTCAGTCAAATCAGTGCTTCTGTATGGCTCAGAGACTTGGCGTGTTACGAAAGGCATTTCCAATAAACTACAGACATTCATCAACAACTGCCTACGCTGTCTCGTTACTGAAGATCAGATGGCCAAAATAATAGAAATAAGCAACAAGGAACTCTGGGAACGAACCAACCAAGAACCTATCACCCAACAAATATGCACTGGAAGGAAGTGTACATGGATTGGGCATACACTGAGAAGGCCAACTGGGGATACCATACGTCAGGCCAGTTGCTCGAGTGGAATCCCCATGGGAAACGAGGAGTTGGGCGTCGGAGGTGAGAGTGACATGGAGGAGATCGTGCCAAGGGGAAATGAGAGCTTGTGGGCTGTCGTGGAACCAGGTTGAAAAGATTTCAGAGAACAGAGTTCACTGGAGACATGCTACTGAAGCCCTATGTTCCATTAGGAACCCAAGGGACTAATACAAAATAATAATTGACTGAGGTGGCCGACTAAAATGTGTGTTACATATGCCTGGTCACCTTCTGCCCTATCACACAATATTCGCGGAAGTAGTTTCTGGTTGGTGAAAGGTATAATGTATGAAGTCACTGACTTTTGGTTAGAGCCATGTGGGGGCGATCCAGACTAGCCGATTGATGTCCACGGGACAAGACAAACCATCAGTGGTTGGAGACTGTAGGTAATGGTATGGCTCACAATCGATGTAAGTAGAACACTGAAGAGGGGGAGGGGTTATAAGTGCGCACTATTGAAGCGTTATATATGCTAATAGTGAGGCAGTAGTTAGGTAATGATCTCAGGTTGTCGTCATGACTACTTATTTGTCTCCAATATAAGTAGTATCAAGGTAGGCGGTTCGCTATTATAGTACACTTTGATTGTTGTTAGTTGGTTAAAGGCATTTTGGCAGTTAGCCATATCTACTTCATTAAAATTTCATACTGAAGTATTCGGGTTTCCACTTCATATCCTGTATGATTAGATTAAGTAGAATAATTGGTCACTGGAGATTAATCAGCTTTGTGTTATCGAATTCTATGCATCATATTAAGCTGAGTGCCTTGCCAACCACCATACAGCAGTTTGATAAATGTCAACTGGTTGGAGGCAATCGCCTAGATGTCTTAGACACAAGTTTCATCTATGTTGGCATACACTTTATTATTATTATTATCATTTATGGAAGCTGAAAGAGGAGAGGAGGATGGTGAAGCGGAAGATAAACCAATGCAAGGATCCACAACGAAAAGACCAACTGAGTACAATGTATAAAACACTACACTGGACAAAGAAGTGAAGAAGAGTGCGCGCAAAGACAAAAGACACTTCCACGGCACACTGGCAAGTGAAGCAGAACAGGCTGATGGTAGAAGAGACCTAACAACATTATATCAAATAACCATGTTACTATCTGAGAAAGAGATCAACACATATGAAACCAATAAAAGGTGATGATGGAAATTTAATTACGAAAGAAGAGAAACAAAGGAAATAATGGGTTGACCACTTCAAAAAGCTACTGAATCGACCTCCACCTGCACTTCGTCTAGGTAAACCACCTACAGCCACAGAACTACCAGTGAACACAAATCCTTCAACAAAAGTCAAAGTCCTGAGCGCCATAAAGCTACTGAAATGAGGGAAAGCCGCAGGACCAGATAGAATCCCATCAGAAGTACTGAGAGCAGACGCAGAGACAACAGCCGGCATGCTCACACCACTATTGTAGAAGGTCTGGAAGGAAGGTAAGGTACCTGCCCATTGATTGGAAGAAGGGCTACCTTGTCAAACTCCCAAAGAAGGGCAACCTAAGTCTTTGCAACAACTGGCGAGGAATCACGCCCCACTCCTGTCCACCCAAAGCAAGCAAAATATTAGGCCGCATCATCCTGGAGAGACTAAAGGATGCACTGCATTCAAAACTACCACCAGAACAGGCCTGCTTCAGAAAGTACAAATCATGTGCGGATCAAACTGCAACGCTAAGCTATGCATCATCATACAACAGAGTATACAATGGCAGTCAACTCTCTATCCCAACTCAACTTCATCGACTTTTAAAAAGCCATCGACAGCCTCAACCAAAAAGTAATTTAGAAACTGTTCCAACACTACAGTTTGAGTGCCACAAACCTTTATCAATCTCATTAAACAACTATATAATGACATCACATACCAAGTAATTCACAATGGAAAACTCAGTGATGCCTTTGAAGTGAAGTGAAAACAGGTGTGAAACAAGGCTGCTATCCATTATCACCCATGATATTCCTGATTCTAGTCGACTGGATCATGCAACAAACAGTGAGGGTCGAGAAGAAGGGGAAACGCTGAACCACCGAAAACAACCTAGAAAATTTGGATTTCGTCAATGATGACTTCTATCTAATGTCACACAAACTCGAAGATCTACACGCGAAAACTAACAAGTTGACAGAAGAGGCAGGGCGGGGCAGGGCAGCGAAGATGGGACTTCAAGTGAACATAGAGAAGACATAGGTGATGATCATACCCAATCAACGCCATCAACAACAACAACAACAACAAGCTCCAATCAACATCAACAGGGGAAAATTGAAGGAAGTAGCCTCTTTCACCTACCCACCTAGGAAGCATTGTTTCAACTACAGGCGACACAGACGACGACGACGACCTCAAAGCCAGCCAGCATCGGAAAAGCAAATCAAGACAGGCGTTCATTAACCTGAAACCAGTGTGGAGATCTTCTGCACTCAATTCAGTACAAACAACAAGATTTGGATTTTCAACACCAATTCAGTCAAATCAGTGCTTCTATATGGCTCAGAGACTTGGTGCGTTACGAAAGGTATTTCCAATAAACTAGAGATATTCATCAAAAACTGCCTACGCTGTCTCCTTACTGAAGATCAGATGGCCAAAATAATAAGAATAAGCAACAAGGAAGTCACTCTCGCAACAATCCAACCAAGAACCTATAGCTGAAGAAATATACAGAAGGAAGTGGAGATGGATTGGATTGGGCATACACTGAGAAGACCATTTGGGGACATCATGCGCCAAGCCAGTCCGTGGAGTGGAACCCGATGGGAAACGGCGAGTTGGGTATACGAGGTGAGGATGATATGGAGGAGATGGTGTGAGGAAGAAATGAGAGCTTGTGGGCAGTCGTGGAGCCAGGTTGAAAAGATTTCAGAGATCAGAGTGGAATGGAGACGTGCCACTGAAGCGCTATATTCCATTAGCAACCCAAGGGACAAATAATAATATAATAATAATATTATTATTATGCATAACTCACCGTTTCTGCAATTTTTCATCAGAAGTTTCAGCCACATACGTTCTCAACTCATAGTCGACCCCACATGGCTAAACACATAGATAACAAAAATAGTATATGTAAACAGACGGAGAATAAAACGTAGAAACAACTGTTAAACGCAGATAAGATGAAGAGATAATAATAAGAATGAGATATTAGTCTAAAATTAATTATTGGTACTGAATGGTGGTCAAGGCAGAGATGAGAATTTGAACCGTGGTGGGGTTCGAACTAGCGACCACCTAACCAAAAACATTGTTCATCTCACTCTCAATCATCACCTACTATCAGTGTAACACTAGTCTACCAATTCATCACTGATATCTCAGATACTCAAATAATAATCAGTATGATGCTCTCCCTCTCATTCTAATTCACTTACATTTCGATGGAGATGAGAAGTCTTGACTACCAAACCAGGTAGCCAGTGTCAATACGATCAACGGATAGTAATATGTCACAAATTCACATGGTAGTCGACTAAACCAATCCATGATGATTGAAACGAAATTATCAATAAAACATCTCGTCAGGAGTTGGACCTCACCAATCAGTTGGTAGAGCATCAGGCCAGTAACTCGGTAGTCGCTGGTTGGTTTGAATCCGACCACGGTCCATATTTTCATCTTACCCTTAATCATATATATATTGCTATACTATTAGTAACACTCGAAGGCGGTTGACATTTCACTGTTTGTTGTGTATTTATCATTTGCCTACTTGTATCATCTGTGTGGAACTGACGGGTAAAGATATTCGATTGTCTATCTAAATGACAAATTATACTGCAATGCAATCTGTTCTCTCCTGTTATATACCTGTGAGACATGACGACATGAAGTGACTACATTTCGCAGATTTCGTGAAATCATCTTTTAAGTAATAGTTGATTTCGTCAGTTTCTATGAGTAAGGCTAGTTCTCTTTCAAGCACTTGAATTCATTTATGAACTCATATCATCGTCTCAATGGTATAGCAGTGGGATAGAGGGAAGTGTGCTATTTTGAACCTCACCTTCTAATAGGGAAGATAGTATCCGAAGTGTACTGCTGTTCATCCATGCCACCACTTGAACCCCCATCATATACACTATAACATTAACTGTTTTACATCTTACAGACCTTTCAGACATGACAGAATCTCAAGGGAACAAGAGTTTCAGCCAATGTCATTGTGATAGTCGAGTTCAGACACTTTCATGTTAAGGTAGCAGTTGTCGATCAGGAATATTTATCTAAAAATAATCCCATAACATATAACTATTCACAGGTGTTTATGGAAGGTAGATATCAGTGCTGAACAATAGCTACTTCGTCCCAGTATGAAACTCATCAGTTTTACAAATCCAAGACCCTGTAAGTGATTGAATCCACAACCTCTTTACAATACTTGTAAATTGAATTTACGTGATGTGTTTCAAACCTCATTGGATTCATGATGTCACTATGTGAGTAATACAAAAGTCAGATGTAGAACTGTAGGGAAGAGAGGTAAGATAATTGATTCAGTTGGCTAGGAAATGTGTTACGCATGCCTAATCACCATCTGTTTTGTCGGATAATGTTAGCTAAAGTAGATTTTGGTTTGAAAAAGGTTACCAGCGGGCAGATTAAAACAGGTCATCAGTGCATGAAGTGTTTGACTGTTAGCATGAGCCGAGAAGAAGGAGACGTAGACTAGTCGGTTAGTGTCCATGTATGCTAACAGAAACTATTGGTTGGAAACTGTAGGTGAATTGGACCAGAATTGATCTTAGAAGTGTTGATCTATCTTCAAACATTACCCTCATCTTCATAGCCATTCTAATCTCAGCTTTCCTTTTATTTATCCGTCTTTCTCCCCTATTCTACAACTTTTGACTGACTGTTCTCTAGTGGGTTTCTCCGTCACTTTGGTGCTTTGCCGTTTGATTTGTTGACCAGATATTCACATTGCACCAGATTCTGGAACACAGGCGCGCTTACCGATGGCCGACAATAGCTGTATTTCTCGATATGAAGGTGGCATTCGTCTCTATTGATCGAGAAGTCCTATTTCAATGTCTCTCAGTGAAAGGCGTATTGAGTAACTACATCACCTTATTGAAGGCTGTCTACTCAAACACCCTCTCCATTCTCATTCAATTTCATCATATATATTCTTATACACGTCTCCCTCTCATCACCTCACTACACAAAGGTTGACCTAATCGTAAGAGAATTTTCCTTACACCTAGAATATGCAGATGACATAGTCGTGTTAGGTGAAGATGCTGACAAGATGCAGAGTCTTCTGTACACACTGAGTGGTAATTTGAGAATGTTTTGGATGTGTTCACTTTTCGCCACCTCAATGCAAATTGTTGCTCCATGATTGGTCTTCAATGGTGCCTCGGCTAACAATACACAGTCAGTGTAGTGGTTGAGAGCGTCAACCGATCTACTTAACTGGGAAGTCAGATAAACCCTAGTGACTCAGTGCTGGATGAAATCTCTGTACATATACAAAAAGCTCACCACTAATGACGCCGCAGTGATATCTGATTGTGGATTAAGGGTCACGTGTACTGCACAGGGAGCGGTCCACTCTCCTCTACTCTATCCGTGTAAAACATGGCCATTGAAGGTGTAAGACATGAGAAGACTTCAGGTGTGTAGTCTCCATTGCCTTCGTAGAATGGCCTGTATTTCGTTGTGTCACTACGTACGTGATTAACGTGGAATTCAGGTGTAGAGTTTAATGGTGAGAGAAGAGGTAAATCGGTTGATGAGTTTGTGAGGCTTCATCGAGTGAGATGGCTGACTAGCTGGTATATGTGTTATGTATGCCTAGTCGCTCGCTGTCTGCCTTGTCACACAATGTTGGCCGAATTGAGTTCATGCTGGATGGAGGTTGGCAGACTAAAACATGGCACTAATGTATGAAGTGTTTGATTGTTGATTTGAGCCATGTGGGGCGATGTGGACTAGCCGGTTGAGGTCTGTGGGACAAGAGGGACTAACGGTGGTTGGAGACTGACTCTAGGTGATGATATGGCTTAGAACCGATGTCGGTCGCCCAGATATATCCCCACAAACATTATCCTCATCTTAACGACGCTATACCTAATCTCACCAGTTTCTCCCTCTTCATTTCTCTCTTCTAGTACTTTGTATTTCTTTTAACTGGATTTTCTCTCCTTCTTCATCTTCCACTTCACTTCCTCGTTTATTTGATGTACTTTGATGAACTGCGGCAACTTGGACGGTCACGCAGTACTGCCTGACCCTATGCTGATTTGGATAGATGATGTGTCGAAATGAAGTGTAACAACTAAGAGAATAATGCAGCAATACCCGGTCGTGCATTGATATTGGATAAGATGTTAGTTTCGAACACAATTTGATTATCCACAATTGTTATATCAAGGCAACTTCATAACGACTTCAACACGTGGTTTCTGAAGTACTAATCTTTTATTGATTCGATAAACAATGATGATTGGTTTAACAATCTGTACCTCAACTCCATGAGGTTAGTTTTAAGGATTTTCACTTTATCCCATCCTACTGTGTGTGGTAGTATGTAGCAGTATGCATAGCTATAGCCAAGCTTTTCTCCGAATTCCTTATATAATTGTGCTTGGATAACCTAACTGACCCTAGTCGACTACTTCAACCTATGTAACTGACCTTCCATTCGTTCCAGTCGATTTAGTGAATAAGTTTTTAGGTTCATGTGCCATTCTAATCCCAGCCAGATATATTGGACATCCTTACTGAATGAAAATACTACAGGGGCTTTGAATTCTCTATCCTCTATTCACAGTATTTCCACTATGATTATTACTACCATAAACAACCGTATTACTAATATTAGTCATATGTTTCCTGACGATTCCTAAGGAACTTGTCAATTTGTTTAGGAGGTTAATTATTGGTGTGTAAGATGTCTTTAATATATCCGGTGTTCTTGTCTTAGATCTTCTGTTCGGCTAGAAAGTTTCCTGACCTTACTACTTAGACATTTTACCATGTCAACTTCAACTGACATAAGGTGGTGAGATGATTTGAAGTGTAAGTAACCATTTGACTGTGGAAGTTTCCCATAGACACTAGTGTATCTAAATACTCATATTGTTTGTCTTTCATCCTGTGCAATCCAACATCACTTATTCCCCCCTCTACTGATGATATGCTCCGATTTTCATCACTTGAAACGTGTCATCTACATTGGTGATCTGATGTGAGATTTGGGGTGGGTGGGGTGGAACTCCTTCTGTTCGTTTGTATATTTCAATCTGAGATGTAATGGTTATTCAGGGTTAGGCATAACTGTTCACATAACATAATGTTGTCAACTAATGGTAACTTAATTCATAGTGTAAGCTAACAGTCAGTATTGAAGTGATTTCTAACATCTTTCAAAGTCATGCCGATCGGGGTAGCTAGCTAGGCTTTTTCTGCTCCGACAGACGAATTGACCCTGCTGAACTCACCGTAACTGACCTATGAGGTATCTGACCTGACATCCATTGCAAGGGATTTCGGGTAAACTAAATTATTCTGCCTAAACGAAGTAGTCTCTTTCACCTATTTAGGCAGCATCGTTTCCACTACAGATGGCACAACCATAGACGAGGATGCCAAAACCAGGATCGGAAACACAGCGAGACAGGCTGTCATTAATCTGAAATGATCAGTTTGGAGATCTACTGCAATGCATTCAGCATAAAACGTGAACAACATCCGGATTTTCAACACCAGCGTCAAGTCAATGCTTCTATATGGTTCGGAAAGTTGGCGCGTCACGAAACGCATTTCGAACAAACTACAGACATTCATCAACAGCTGCTGCCTACGCTCACTCGATACTGAAGATAGATGAGATAGCCACAAAGAATAAGCAACGAAGAACTCTGGGGACGAACCAACTAAGCAAGAACCTATCACTCAATAGAATAAGGAAGTGGAGATCGATTGGGCATACACTTAGAAGGCGGGTTGGGGACATCAACTGCCAGGCCCTCGAGTGAAATCCAAAGTGGAAACGACGAGTTGAGCATTCGAGGGTGACATGGAGAAGATGGTGTGAGGAAGAAATAAAAGCTTGTAGGCAGTCCTGGAGCCAGTTCAAGCCGGACTGAAGAGAACAGAGTGGAATGGAGGCGTGATAGTGAATCTCTGTGTTTCACTAGGAACCCAAATGAAAAACAATAGGATCTTTAAACCGGGAAAGCTTATTTCTAGGCTAGTTTGAAGGTTTAAACGCCACTCTAATTCCAGCCAGACTTATCGAGATTGTTACGCAATGTCCCTGAGGTCCCTTCCTTGCATAGTAGTAGTACTGTAGAGGCTTTGAATTCTCTATCCTCTATTCACAGTATTTCCACTATGATTATTACTACCATAAACAACCGTATTACTAATATTAGTCATATGTTTCCTGACGATTCCTAAGGAACTTGTCAATTTGTTTAGGAGGTTAATTATTGGTGTGTAAGATGTCTTTAATATATCCGGTGTTCTTGTCTTAGATCTTCTGTTCGGCTAGAAAGTTTCCTGACCTTACTACTTAGACATTTTACCATGTCAACTTCAACTGACATAAGGTGGTGAGATGATTTGAAGTGTAAGTAACCATTTGACTGTGGAAGTTTCCCATAGACACTAGTGTATCTAAATACTCATATTGTTTGTCTTTCATCCTGTGCAATCCAACATCACTTATTCCCCCCTCTACTGATGATATGCTCCGATTTTCATCACTTGAAACGTGTCATCTACATTGGTGATCTGATGTGAGATTTGGGGTGGGTGGGGTGGAACTCCTTCTGTTCGTTTGTATATTTCAATCTGAGATGTAATGGTTATTCAGGGTTAGGCATAACTGTTCACATAACATAATGTTGTCAACTAATGGTAACTTAATTCATAGTGTAAGCTAACAGTCAGTATTGAAGTGATTTCTAACATCTTTCAAAGTCATGCCGATCGGGGTAGCTAGCTAGGCTTTTTCTGCTCCGACAGACGAATTGACCCTGCTGAACTCACCGTAACTGACCTATGAGGTATCTGACCTGACATCCATTGCAAGGGATTTCGGGTAAACTAAATTATTCTGCCTAAACGAAGTAGTCTCTTTCACCTATTTAGGCAGCATCGTTTCCACTACAGATGGCACAACCATAGACGAGGATGCCAAAACCAGGATCGGAAACACAGCGAGACAGGCTGTCATTAATCTGAAATGATCAGTTTGGAGATCTACTGCAATGCATTCAGCATAAAACGTGAACAACATCCGGATTTTCAACACCAGCGTCAAGTCAATGCTTCTATATGGTTCGGAAAGTTGGCGCGTCACGAAACGCATTTCGAACAAACTACAGACATTCATCAACAGCTGCTGCCTACGCTCACTCGATACTGAAGATAGATGAGATAGCCACAAAGAATAAGCAACGAAGAACTCTGGGGACGAACCAACTAAGCAAGAACCTATCACTCAATAGAATAAGGAAGTGGAGATCGATTGGGCATACACTTAGAAGGCGGGTTGGGGACATCAACTGCCAGGCCCTCGAGTGAAATCCAAAGTGGAAACGACGAGTTGAGCATTCGAGGGTGACATGGAGAAGATGGTGTGAGGAAGAAATAAAAGCTTGTAGGCAGTCCTGGAGCCAGTTCAAGCCGGACTGAAGAGAACAGAGTGGAATGGAGGCGTGATAGTGAATCTCTGTGTTTCACTAGGAACCCAAATGAAAAACAATAGGATCTTTAAACCGGGAAAGCTTATTTCTAGGCTAGTTTGAAGGTTTAAACGCCACTCTAATTCCAGCCAGACTTATCGAGATTGTTACGCAATGTCCCTGAGGTCCCTTCCTTGCATAGTAGTAGTACTGTAGAGGCTTTGAATTCTCTATCCTCTATTCACAGTATTTCCATTATGATTATTACTACCATAAACAACCGTATTACTAATATTAGTCATATGTTTTCTAATGATTCCTAAGGAACTTGTCAATTTGTTTAGGAGGTTAATTATTGGTGTGTATTATTATTTTATTGTTATTAGTCCCTTGGGATCCTAATGGAACATAGGGCTTCAGTAGCACGTCTCCATTCTACTCTATTCGCTGAAATCCTTTCAACCTGGCTCCACAACAGTCCAAAAGCTTTCATTTCTTCCTCACACGATCTCCTACTTTATGTCACCCTCGCCTCGGACGACCAACTCATTTCCCATGGGGATTCCACTCGAGCAACTGGCCTGACGTGTGGTGTCCCCAGTTGGCCTTCTCAGTGTATGCCCAATCCATGTACACTTCCTTCCAGTGCATATTTGTTGGGTGATAGGTTCTTGGTTGGTTCGTTCCCAGAGCTCCTTGTTGCTTATTCTTATTATTCTGGCCATCTGATCTTCAGTAGCGAGCGTAGGCAGTTGTTGATGAATGTCTGTAGTTTATTGGAAATGCCTTTCGTAACGCGCCAAGTCTCTCAGCCATACAGAAGCACTTACTTGACTGAATTGGTGTTGAAAATCCGGATGTTGTTCACGCTTTATGCTGAGTGCAGAAGACCACCACACTGTTTCAGGCTAATGAACGTCTGTCTTGCTTTTCCAATTCTGACTTTGACATCCTCGTCTGTGCCACTTGTAGTTGAAATAGTGCTTCCTAGGTGGGTGGGTAAAAGAGGCTACTTCCTTTAAGTTTCTCCCGTTGATGGTGATTGGAGTTTGTTGTTGTTGTTGTTGTTGTTGTTGGAGTTGTTGGTGCGGTATCTTCATCACCTGCGTATTCTCTACCTTCACCTGAAGGAAGTCCCATCTTCGCTCCCATGTCTCTTCTGTCAACTTGTTAGTTTTTCACTGTACACCTTCCACTCTGTGAGACAAGACATTAGACATAAATCGTCATTGCCAAAATCCAAATCTTCTACAGGATGTTTTTATTGGTGCAGCTAGCATATGCTCATCTTCTCACAGCTCCTCAAAGTTGTTTGTTACATGATCCAGTTCAGTTCAGTAGTCCACAATCAGGAAGATCATTGGTGATAGTAAACAGCAATCTTGTCTTGCACTCCTATCTTCACTTCACTTGAAAGGCATCACTGAGCTTCCCGTTGTGAATTACTTGGTATGTAGCATCCTCATATAGCAATATATATGTGCTGTTGAATGGGGTTGGTAAAGGTTTGTAGCACCTGTGTACCAACAGGAAATTGTAGTTATCAATATAATTAGAACTGATACTGATTACCAAAGACATAGCCTACCAGATTACGCTTCGGCCTTTAAAACCAATGGGTACAGGGGGTTCGAATCCCAAAGGTGACCTTGATAATCACGTGATCATTCAATGTGAACCACTGTTATCACCATCATCATCATCATCATCATTGATTGTTTTATGTTATAAGAAAAGATATCAAAACAAGAAAGACAAGAGAAAGAATACAAAACACACATCTCTTATCTCAACTACACACTCACTTTGCCATTTTCATTCGGTCCTGGTTGAAGTGTAACTGATGCAGGTGCATCTGGAGGAAGCTATTTCATTTTATTAAGAAAAAAGAAAAAAAAGAAAAATACTAACAGCTGAAACAAACCATAGATTATTAACGATGGAATGTAGCAGAAGCCAATATAAACAGTAAGAATATTATTATTTGCCCCCTGGGTTTCTTCCTAGTGGAACACAGTGCTTCACTAGCACGTCGCCATTTCACTCTCTTCTCTGCAGTCTTTCCAACCTGGCACCATGACTGCCAAGAAGCTTTCATCTCCTCCTCCATATCACCCTCGGACGACCAACTCGTCGTTTCCCACGCGAGTTTTACTCGAGGACCTGGTGTGTGATGTCTCCGAATGGCCTTCACAGTCTATGTCTAATCTAGTCCATCTTCACTTTCTTCACCTACATATTTGTTGGGTGATAGGTTCTTGGTTCCTTCGTTTCCAGAGTTCCTTGTTGCTTATTCTTTATCGCCATCTAATCTGATCTTCATTATCGAGTGAGAGTAGGCAGCAACTGTTGACGAATGTCTGTTAGTTTGTTGGAAATGCTTTTCGTAACGCGCCAACTTTCTGAGCCACACAGAAGCACTGACTTGACTGAATTGGTGTTGAAAATCCAGATATTGTTCACGCTTTATGTTGAGTGCAGTGCAGTGCAATGCAGTAGATCTCCACACTGTTTTCAGATTAATATGAAGGCTTGTCTTGGTTTTCCAATCTCGGTTTTGACATCCTCATTTGTGCCTAGGACACCTGTAGTTGAAACGATGCTGCCTCCTTGGTAGGTCAAAGAGACAACTTCCTTTACATTTCTCCCCTTCATGGTGGTTGTTGATGTTCTTGTTGTTGGTTGGTTGGGTATATTCATCACCTCTGTCTTCTCTAAGTTCACTTGAATTCCTGTCTTCGCCGCCTCTTCTGTCAACTTGTTGGTTTTCACATGTACATCTTCGACTTTCTCCGACAAGACATAAGATATAAATCATCATCGGGGTGAAATCCAACTCTTCTAGGTTCTTTTCATCGGTCAAACAGTGTATGCGTATCTTCTCCCTCCTCACAGTTTCTTGCATGATCCACTACAGTCCAGTCTAGTCAACCACAATGAGGAAGATGATCGGTGATAGTAGGCGGCAACCTTGTCTTACTCCCGTCTTCACTTCACTTCAAAAAGGCATCACTGAGCTTTCCATTGTGAATTACTTGGTATGTGGCACCTTCATATAGCTGTTGAATGAGAATGATAAAGGTTTGTGGTACACTGTAGTGTTGAATCAGTTGCCAAATTACTTCTCGGTCGACGCTGTCGATGGCCTTTTCAATATCGATGAAGTTGAGGTAGATAGTTAACTGCCATTCTATGCTCTATTCTGCGATGATTTGGGGTTGTAGGGGATTTAGTGATTGATTTCAAGATGGTAATCATCATGGACTGAATGACATAAGTTGGAGGAACATTAAAGACCTTCCAGCACTGGACGGACAGCTATTTTGTCCGAGTATAGTGCTCTTCAGCAGTGCGCGCATCAACGACTCCATCCCGCCAGTGGTCGAGCCCAGGACCTTCAGGTTCCGTGACCAGCATGTTAACATTGAGCAACTGAGTCGGCAGAATCCAATGCTCCATATTTTCCACTTCCATCAGTTCAAGACATAGCGCAAACGCCACCCAATATCATCATTGAGTATTTGTCCTCATAACCCCCTGATGGTCTTGCGTTCGAATTCTAGAGGGGTCAAGGGTGAGTATTGTTGAAGAGTCCCATACTAGGATGAAGCAGCGACTGTCCACTGCTCGTAAGTTTCCAATATTCCTCTAACTGATATCAAAATTTATGATGAAGAAGCTGATTAGAACTAAAGGCTAGCTAAACATGAAGTTAGTTACTTTCCCTCCAGTAACCAATCAGTATATCAAATCCAGTCTTACGAGAGTTGGATCGTGGTTCAAAATCATTCAGTGGTAAGATTAGCTGACTGTAAAACTGGGTGACACGGGCTCCAATCTCAGAGGAAGGTAGATGGAGTGGGGGGGGGGCATTAGTTCCGTAGACTTCGAGTTACATTGTCAATTCACTAAACATTTAGTTCACCAATCATAATGTAAGATAGAACTTATAAATGGTCGTTATGGTGCCCAGCCTCATCCAAATAAACACTAACAGATAATCCCACCACTTACTACTAGGAAACAACTCCTAATTTACACCATTCAACAATCAAATCCCCTTTGAAAATTTGTTGACTAAAACATACATTGAAGTAACGCATAATTGTAATAATTGTGATGTTCAATAATTAACTGTAACACCTTGGTTGTATCGTGTTCTGTGAGCTAGCTGGGTTGTCTAATCGTGGAGACGCTTTCATCGTCTTTCTACACAGCGATATCATCCACACCACTAACTTCAGTATGAATTATGAGCTAGCTGTCAATGTCTCTCCATCAGTGACTTAGTAGGTTACTCTGATGAAGTGGTTTGTGATTGGTTGTTCCCTTTGACTGTTGTGTCGTTGAATCATTAAATAGATTTTCCTGTTGGCTGTTCCTCTCCTTCACCCATGTTTATCTTTCTATCGTTTATCATTTTTCTTATTGGTTGATAGATCAGGTCTTTGTTTATACATCTGTGGATTGCTGACTAACTGAGCTGAATGCCAAGCTTCTAGGAATTCTCTAATGAATATTCTTTGTGTTTCCTCTCTCTGTCCAATATTTCTACTGTGCCGAAATTGAATTCATGTCCATAATTATGCACATGCATTGAGTGATGAGTGATGAAATGTCCTGACCTTTAATAGCCAATTGGTGCTCATGTAGACGAAGATGAAGAGGGTGACCACTTTGTCCAATGTGGTGTGTTGACTACAGTTATTCAAGTTGATTTTGTAAATGATATTCAGTTTGTCTTCTTTGCTTATTACATCCCCTTTGGTCTGCATAAGAGTATTTAGAGGGAATTTGCTGGTGTATGAGGCGACCCACATCAATTCCAAGTAGTCTCAAGCAATCTTGTCATTATTTCTGATACATCTTCTTTATGTATGATAGAATGATGCGATGTCGATGACTTTGTAGTTGATAATGCACGGGATAGTCATCTTCTTATAAAGTTTCATGGGTAGCCGTTCTTCATTAGGGTAGAGAGGAACAGCCAACAGGAGAGTCTGTACAACCAATGACACAACAATCAAAGGGAACAACCAATCACAGACCACATAGTCAGAGCAAGCCATTAAATCACTCACGGAGAGATATTGACAGCTACCATACAATTCATACTGAAGTTAGTGGTGTGGATGATATCGCTGTGTAGAAAGACGATGAAAGCGTCTCCAGGATTAAACAACCCAGCTAGCTCAGAGAACCCAATGCAACCAAGACCATCCACCTGACCTACAAATATTCACTATTTTAACTGTAATATATTTTCTGATAATGTCTTGTTTAGTTTAACTTGAACTATTCTCATTATGCTTAGTTCTGCTTAACTCATCCATAACAGACAGAAGATTGAACTAAACATTATTGAATGCTAATCTGTTAGGATAATGATTCATACGGAGATATTTATGCAGCATTTTTTTTAAATGAAAGGAATTAGAAAAGGGAACACATACAATACAAGTCAGTAGAATAAGAAAACCAACGAATCTGAAATGAACAATAGGTAATATATGTAAGATAGGATGATCTATTTACGAATGATTTACAAATTTTCCACTACCCTATTAATACTGGTCAGTCAGTCCAACCATTGGAAACCAATGAGCTGAGATCACAAGGCATGACCTCTCTCTCTCTGGCTTTTGACCTCACTGGAACTGATCTTCTTCCTAGAGGGTATGTAGATGACGTGAAGTACCCAGAAAATATTGTCCTGTTAGGTCTTGTGTGTACTGCACAGCAGTCCGTTCTCCTCTACTCTATCCCTGTGAAACATAGCCATTGAAGGTAGAAGACATGAGAAGGCTTCAAGTGTTTCACTACCGTCACCATCGTAGTATAGGCCGTATTCTGTGGTGTCACCACACCACGTGAATAACACAGAAGTTATGAGTAAAATTTTAGGGTGGGAGGGAGAAGAGATAAATCAGTTGACATAGTTGTGAACTTCCATCGACTGAGATGGCTGACTAGCTGGGATATGTGTTACGTATGCCCATTTTCCGTCTGCCTTATCATGCAATGTTGGCCGAATCGGGTTCAGGCTGGTAAAAGGCTCCAGGCGGCCAGACTAAAACATGGCGTCAACATAAGAAGTCGCTGACTGTTAGCCAGTTGACCTCCGCGGGATAAGAGAAACCAACAGTGGTTGGAGATTAGGTGGTGTGGCTCATAACCGATGTTGGTGGCGCAGATGTATCCCCACACACATTATCCTCATCTTAACGACGCTATACCTAATCTCACCATTTTCTCATTCTCCCTTTCTCTCTTTTAGTACTTTGTATTTCTTTTGACTGGATTTTCTCTCCTTCTTCATCTTCCACTTCACTTGCTTGTTACTTGATGTACTGATACGAGGTGTGGCAACTCGGACTGTTACGCAGTAATACCTTGCCCCATGTTGATGGATGATGATGAATACACATTTGTGTATGTTTGGCTCCCATGCGTTTCCCTCCTGTTAAATGTACGGTAATACTGCAGGATATGAAGTGAAGTCATGAAATATGTTGACCACTTCACTTACTTTAGGGAGGTGTATCAAGATGAGTATCCAATATTGACAGTGCAAGCGTAGAAAACTGGTAGTTTTTGATCTCTCGTGTCTAGTTCTTAGGGCTTGGTTCGAGTTGTTCGGTTCACTCCTGCAGTGGACGAGGAAATCCCCCTCTGCTTTCTTCCTTTTAGCCTCTGTAAGGTGGATGTTTTGTGGGTTAGTAAGTTTTAATTTGTAGAGTGATTGAAGGGCTACGGGTTGCTGGGAAGTTTAGAGAACTGCCGTGACTCCTGTCTGTGTAGGTATCTGAAGGAGAATAGTAAGGTAGTGGTAAAAGAATGAAGAAGAAAAGGAAAAGAAGGGAAGGAGAAGAAAAGGAGGGGTGAAAAAGAGAAATAAGAAGGAGAGAAAAGTATGTGGGAATTACCCGAATGGTAGGGTGGGTTTGGTTCCTACAGAAGAATGAGTAGGTAATGTGGGTGTATTAAAGAGAAAGATAGTGAGTGGTAGGTAGGAGGGAGTTGAGGGCTAGTGAGGTTGATGACTACCTGAGTACGTCCATGGTAGACCATACGAGGTGATATAACTATCTAATCGTCTCATGAATGGGTCAACTGAGGGAGCTATAACGATATATCACGGTAAGGCATTCCATAAAGCACATACTCTTAGGGAGAAAAATTTGGACCTGAGTATGGTGTTGGCTCTCTGGTATGCTATCTTAATGGGGTTTCCTCTTGAGTTGCGTGGTCTGCTTGATGGGTGATCTTGTATGCCATAAGAAGGTCACCCTTCTTCCTGAAATAACCCAAGGTATATAGGTTTAGGTGTTTAAATCTTTCAGGATACTTCTTTTCCCTTAGTTCCCTCCCCACACAACTGATTTTGTTGTGCTTCTTTGTATTTTTCTTAAAGGAGATTAGAGTCTCTCTTGAGTTGCTGACTGAATTTCAGCTCGTATACAAGATCAACACTATTGACAAGAAACATTTACACAGACTAAACCGATCACATTTAATCAGCTAACTGGAAGTTGAACAGTTTTACAAATAGGCATTAATATAAACAGTAAATGAATCTTATTACAATAAGTAGACCAACTTAATCTATTGGTTAGTTAGTTAGTTACTAATTATATAACTTACTTTAAAGTAGAATGGAAAAGCATTATTGCCCAACTTTTTTATTAAACGTTCTTGTAATCTTGTTAATGGAATAGTTCCTAAATGAGATGAATCATTTGACTGTTTTTCAATAAATTCTAAATCTGTTGAATTATTTGATAAAGATTTTGTTGTTGTTGTTGTTGTTGTTCCACAAACAATTGTAGTTTTTGGATTGAGGAGAATTTTATCAAATTCACCTATTTCATTAGTATATACAGGTGGATAAACTTGAGTTGAAGCTAGATATAAATCTTTACGAAATGTTAATCCAAGAACATCAAGATCTTCACGACCATAACGAAATGCTGAGAGGACATGAGTAAATACTTTACGTCCTTTCACATAATCTGGATCGACTAGTACAACACCCTCTTTAAAAGATAAAGAAAAGAAAGGAAACTGGGAAACTCATTTTTAAAAAATGGGATGACAAAGAAAATCATACACTGAGATTATTTATCCCTTGGGTTCCTAATGGAACATAGAGCTTCACTAGCACGTCTCCAATGCTCTCTGTTCTCTGAAATCTTTTCAACCTGGCTCAACTATAGCCCACAACCTCTCATTTCCTCCTTGCACGATCTCCTCCTCTATGTCACCCTCTCCTCCGACGCCCAACTCGCTGTTTCCCATATGGTTTCACTCGAGTACCTGTCGCATGATGTCTCCTAATGATCTTGGTTCATTTCCAGGCCAGCGTTTTTTGTTGCTTATTCTTTCTGGCTATCTGAGCTTCAGTAACAAGACAGCGTAGGCAGTTGTTGGTGAATATCTGTAGTTTTTTGGAAATCCCTTCGTATTGCGTCAAGTTTCAGGTTTTCAAGTTAATGAACGCCTTTCTTGCTTTCCCGATCCCAGTTTTGACGTCCTCGCATGTGCCTGTGCCACCTATAGGTGGAACGGTGCTGCTTAGACACGTGAAAGGGGCTACTTCCTTCAGCTTTCTCCCGTTGATGGTGATTGGCATATTTTGTTGTTGGTTGTGTATTTCATCACCTCTGTCTTCTCCACATTCACTTGAAGTCCCATCTTCGCTGCCATGCCCCGCCTCTTCTGTCAACTTATTGCTTTTTGCCTGTACATCTTCGAGTTTGTGCGATGTCAGACACAAATTGGTGAAATCTAAATCTTCTAAGGTCTTTCTATCGGTCCAGCGTATGCCCGTTTTCTCGCTCCTCACGATTTGCTGCATGATCCAGTCGACCACAATCACGAAGACCATTGGTGATAGTAGGCAGCTTTGTCTTACTCTTCTCTTCACTTCAAAAGATTATATATATAGCAACGATAAGTAGCCTGCTATCTATCACATATTTGGAGATCTTCCTAAAAGGATGAAGTCGTATAGTGGATTACTGACTACGACAATAATGATTTCATCAAGAATACCGTATACTTTGAGCGTTTCTCATCACCGAAATGCAAATTGTTGTTCCAAGATTGGTTTTCAATGGTGCCTCGGCTAATAATAGAAAGTCAGTGTGGTGGTTGAGTGTGTTGACCACTTCACTTATCTGAGACGTAAGATCAGACCTGGTGGCTTAGTGACCAGTGAAATCTCTGTACACATACAAAAGGCTCACCATTTGTGACGCCGCAGTGATATCTGATTGCCGATTAAGGGTCACGTGTACTGCAAAGCAATCCGCTCTCCTCTACTGCATAGCTGTGAAACATGACCATCGAAGGTTGAAGACATGACAAGGCGTCAAGTGTTTGACCATCGTTGCATTCGTAGCATAGGCCGTATTCGGTGGTGTCACCGAGTGAATAACGCAGAAATCAGGCGTAAAGTTTTAGGGTGGGAGGGAGAAGAGGTAAATCAGTTGATGAGTTCATGAACCTTTATCAACTGAGATGGTTGGCTGACTGAGATGTGTTTTACATATGCCTAGTCGCCGACCGCCCCGTCACACAATGATAGGTTCAGGCTGTAAAAAGGCTGGCGGTGGCCAAACTAAAACATCACGTCAATGTATAAAGTCGATGACTGTTGGTTTGAGCCGTATGAGGCGATGTAGACTAGCCAGTTGGGGTCTGAGGGACAAGAGAAACCAACAGTGGTTGGAGACTCTACCTGATCACATGGCTCATAACCGATGTGAGTGGCGCAGATCTATCCCCACACACATTATCCTCATCGTAAAGAGGCTATACCAGATCTCACCATTTTCTCATTCTTCCTTTCTCTCTTTTCCTACTTTATATTTCTTTTTTTTCATCATCCACTTCACTTCCTTGTTTATTTGATGTACTGATATGAGGTATGGCAACTCGGACTGTTATGCAGTAATGCCTGGTCCTATGTTGATTTGGACAAAAGAAACAAATTATAAATGTATGTTATGCGTTTGTATACACAAAAAATGATCCTAACATTTAACAGGATATCATGTGAGAATTTAATTAAGATAATTTCATGTTGATTGTAAATTCTAAGTATAAAATGTTATATAAGGGTATAATGAAAAAGTTGTTAGTCAAAGAAAAGTCTAAACAAAATAGTTTTCATAAATTTTACTATACACTACAAAATAATAATCAGATGTATATACTTCACCATAGTATAACCGATTCTTTTGTCAATCTGTCAATCTGAAAACACGTGGTGTTTATTATAGTCTCAATATATTGGAAATTTACCCTTAATAACTTCACAAAGCCTTTTATAATATACTCTAGTACTGAGCTAATCATCCTATCTATAATAATCTGAAATAATAATTAAATTTGTTAAAAAAAAAGATTGAATAAGTAATTAGAACAAAAGTATTTGAAAATTAACAATTATCAATCCACAATGAGAAAGCTCAGTGATGACTTTGAAGTAGAGACAGGAAGGAGTAAGACAAGGCTGTCACCTACTATCACCCATGATCTTGGTGATTGTGATCGACTGAATAATGCAGCAAACAGTGAGGAGCGAGAAGATGGACATACGCTGGCTGGACCGATGAAAACACCCTATAAGATTTAGATTTCCCTTATGATGATTTTGTATAATGTCGTACAAACTCGAAGATGTACTAGCGAAAACTAAAAAGTTGACAAAAGAGAGAGGTCAGCGAATACGAGACTTCAAGTGAGCGTAGAGAAGACGGAGGTGTTGAAGATACCGAACCAACAACAGCCTCAACAACAAACACCAATCACCATGAACGGGAGAAATCTAAAGGAAGTTGTCTCTTTCACCTAACTACTTACCCAAGCAGCATTGTCTCAACTACAGGCGGCACAGGCACAGATGAGGATGTCAAAACCGGGATCCGCAAGACAACAAGACAGGCCACCCTTTATGAATCTGAAATCAGTGTGGAGATCTACTACACTGAACTCAGCATAAAGCGTGGACAAGATCCGGATTTTCAACACCAATCCAGTCAAGTCAGTGCTTGCTTCTATGTGATGGTTGAGAGACTTGGCGTGTCATGAAAAACACTTCCAACAAACTACAGACATTTATCGACAACTGCGTACGATGGCTCGTGACTGAACATAAGATGGCCAGAAAGAATAAGCAACAAAAAACTCTGGGTGGTGACGAACCAACTAAGCAAGAACCTACCACTCAACAAATATGCTGAAGGAAGCGGCGATGGATTGGGCATACACTGAGAAGGCCGACTAGGGACATCACGCGTCAGACCAGTCCCTCGAGTGGAATCCAAAGGCGAAACGATGAGTTGAGCGTGCGAGCGAAGGGTGACATAGAGGAGATGGTGTGAAGAGGCGATGAAAGCTTGTCGGGTAAACGTGGTGCCAGGTTCAAAAGACTGCAGAGAAGAGAGTGGAATGTAGGCATGCTACTGAAGTCCTGTATTCCATTAGGAACTCAAGGGAAAAATAATAATGGTAAATAAACCCAGAAAGGTCTTGAATGGGGTTAATAGTAGCTTGAAGTTTTAGAATACTATGGATCCCATGGAAAAAATTCACTAAACTCACTAACAACACCTTTGATACTTTATACTCAACACTTATTATTCCCACACTGTGTAGAAATTGATATATTCCGAACGAAAAGATAGATAAGACTTATAGGAAGCAGTATAAATGACTATTAGGTATGATCTATGTTGTAATTGGCTTGACCTATAAAGAATGACTTCAGTAGTCGACCTTCTCTTCAACGTGTTGTAGAGAGACGCAATTTGATTACAACTTATAGTATTTTAGAAAAATAGAATCAATATTCACTTACTTTTTCTGATAAGACGGCAAGAAGCACACTTTACAAAAGCAAAAGAAGAATATCATACCGAAGAAAAGCTTCCACCCTATGTAGCCCCCACCCCTCCAGTGACTTCTATACTTAGACTGCCCCTCAGCCAAGGCATACTCCTCTATAATTGAAAGGATACCATAGTCACACCTATCTACAAGGTAGGTTCTAGGTAGCAGCCATCAAATTAAAGACTGACAAGTTTGACGGGTACTGTATTAAAAATCCTGGACAGATTAATCAAGAAAGGCATTACAGTTCACTTAGAGAACAACACTCTACTGTCTCGTTCGCAGCATGAATTTCCAAGAAATTTCTCCTGCTTGAAGAACCTTCTCACAGTCAGAGGAAGTTGAGTTTAGTCTAAAGATGATAGGTTACCTATAGATGTCATTTGTATAGACTTCAATAAAGCTTCCGACAAGGTACCTCATTCGAGGTTCCTTATGAAACTGGAAAGTTTTCGAATCGCTTACAATCTGCTTCCATGGATAAGAGAGTTTCTTGTTGGAAGGAGACAAAAAGTAAGGATAAATTTTCAACCCTCCTCTTGGAAGTCAAAAGAGCGTGAAGTGCCTCAAGGCACAGTCCTGGATCCCATGACAAATGCCACGAAATCCCCTATGGTTCTCTATGCTGATGATGTGAGAATCTGGTGGGAATTAAGAAATGACGATGGTATATGTGCACCTCGAACAGACCTAAACAGCTTGTTTACTTGGTCACAGAAGTGGCTTATGTCTATCAACGCAGGTAAGTATATGAGCATGCACACAGGGCACACAGATGACAACACCTACTATATTGGTGGGACTTCTCTACCATCTGTACTGACCCATTATGACGTAGGAGTCACAGTGAATTATGATTTGAAAACCACAGCACACTGTCGATTGGTAGCAGCTTGGAGTTTTAGAACACCTTGGGCATTACGCAGAATGTTTACAAAAATAAGTAGTGATATGTTCACCATCTTATACACATCCTTAGTTAGGTCTAAATTAGAAAACTGTACACAGGCGATAAATACGTGTTTGAAAGGTGACTCCGACCTTCTGGAAAGAGTTCAGAGGCCAGTCACTCTTATGATCCCTGTGACGGCTAGCTTGACTTAGAAAGATAGACTTAAGGAGCTCAACTTCACTTTATCCCATAGCAGATAGGGAATAGATCTAATCACGACATAGAGAATTGTACGAAATGACTTTGGACGTGGTCTACATTCACCTTTCTTCCCCACTGGGTAGAAACACTTGAGAGGACATAGCTGGAGAATACAAAAGCAGAGGACGAACATAGTCTGCGCAGAGTACTGGTCTTCGCGTCCAGTAACCAACTCCTATAACCGACTTCCAGAAAAAATGGTATCCAAATCACCAATTGACCGGCTCGGAAAGGGATTGGACGAGAACAGAAATCTACTGGGAAAGGATTAATACAGGCACACAGCCTTCTATCCTTAAACAGTAAGTCTGAAATTGTCATCGGATTCGGTATTCAATACCTTTTGACGAGCTAGTGTAAGCCACTGGATTTTTTCGCGCTCGCTTCTAGGTCTTGCAGAAAGGTTCAAGGTATTTGGGGGATTCCGATGCAGTAGGTCTATTCACTCGACTGCTGTAGCTCTGATTAGTCCGACGGGCGGTTGGGTGTTGTTTAGATTTGTGAGGAACGTTGTTGTTTATTAATGATGGGCAGTGGCTAGCAGTGGAATCCAGGATGCGCATTTTGTCCTATTTGGGACTCGTCAGCTGGATGTACCTGCTTCCCAGTGAGTGATGTTGTTCCCACCATATCGAGGCATCCGCATAGGAGCCCATATGCCAACAGAGTGTTGTTGTTTGTTTGTTTCTGCCAAGGACTGAAGTGTAGATGAGTTCCTCAAGTGTCGTATTAGCAGAAAACTGGTCAGACGGGTTGTAAAAAGGAGATGGAAAATATGTCTCGAAAGATCAAGGGAGAGAAAGTGAAAACAAAAACAGATAGAAAAGGACGATTAGGAAAAAGGAAACGTAAAGTCAGTAGGAAGAGGAGTAAATAAGATTATATGACGTATGGGAATAGAAATAGTAATTCTATTAGTAGATGGTAACTGGAGGGGACGTCTATAGGAAAGTATAAGGTTGAACCAGGTTCCAAGTGATAGTGGTGTTACAAAGTATTCGACAATGGGTTGGCCGTGGTAAATTAGTAGGTCATGTCAGCCCAGTCCATATCCCAGTTGGATGAGCGCAAAGTGTACGTAACTGCGTAACCGTCCAACCTCTTTCTGAAGCCGTCAACAGACGGAGTAGTAGCAATCTCGGCAGGCAATGCGTCCCAGTGGCCACAAACTCGCAGAGAGAAGAAGTGTGACCGCACACGGGTTTTCGCTCCCCTTGGGTTACCACGAGGATCGCCACTACGGCCGTTCGGTAGGATTCCACTGTTCGGGTGACTTGGGTTACTGAGTATTTTGTAAGCCGTTATCAAGTCACCACGTAATCTACGGTAGCTTAGAGAGTAGAGTCCTAGATCTTTCAGCCTTTCCTCATAGCGTTTTCGCTTCATTCCCACGACACCCTTTGTAGCTGGCCTTTGGACTTTCTCTAGGAGGTTCACGTCTCTTTTCAGATATGGTGGTGTAATGACGTTGTGGACCTCTAAGTGCGGTCGCATACAGGTCCTGTACAGTTTTTTAAAAAGAGTTTCAGTGTCAGGGCACCTAGTTGTCTGCGCATGAAGTGCAGTACTGCGTAAGCTCTGGATAACTAACAGCTAAAATCATCACAAAAGGACTAATACAAATTCGTGCATCATTTCGCCTAAGATCATATCAAACTAAACAGACAAAGATGAAGGCCTCACAACTTTTAAACATGAAGTAGAATGTCCGAAACTAAATGCACACTGCTATGGATTAGACATGACTGTTGTCGCGAATATATCTTATCTAAGCAAATGTTAAGGTAAATAATACTGTACACATCTTAGTATAGTATAATGAGTTTAGTAAAAACTAAACTACCTTACAGTGCGGAGATCTTCCACACAAAGAACAAGATCCGGATTTTCAACACAAATTCAGTCAAGTCAGTGCTTCTGTGTGATGGTTCAGAGACTTGACGCATTACGAAAGGTATTTCCAACAAACTACAGACATTTATCGACAACTGTCTAGGCTCGCTCGTTACTGAAGACCAGATGACCAGAATAATAAGAATAAGCAACAAGGAACTCTGGGTGGCTGACAACGAACCAACAAATATGCAGAAGAAGGAAGTAGAGATGGATTGGATTAAACATACACTGAGAAGACCATTCAGGGATATCACGGGCCAGTCTTTCGACTGGAACCCAAAGGGGAAACGGCTATTTTGGCGACCGAGGCGAGGGTGACATGGAGGGGATCGTGTGAGGAAGAAATGAAAGCTTCTGCGCTGTCGTGGAGTCAGGTTCAAAATACTGCAGAGAAGGGAGTGCACTGGAGACATGCTACCGAATCTCGAGGTTACAGTAGGAACCCAAGGGGCAAATAACAATAATAATATAAATTATCTAGCACATCCATATAACTTCAATATGTGGTGTCTGAAGATCTTAGTGAAAATTAATGTGACAGAGAATAAATACGGCCATTGACGTATATTATTAAATGTGTTGAACGAACGTTATCAGAAGAAACGATCAAAACAATCGATATATTTACGAGTAGCAGAAAATTTAAGACAGACGTGATTTAGAACACACAATTGAAATCTAATTTAAAACATACCAATAGGATCTACATGTGTTAAACTATCGATAAAATCTCTTTTGCACAAGTATGTTGTAATCTGAAAGATAAGCTAGCTGAAAAGACTGTTACCATTCCATTTGGGCTGCTTTTCTTGAAAACCCTATTGAACAGAAGCAATAAAGTAAATTGATAAACCTACCTTGTACCCTGTTTCTTGTGTAGATTATTTCCATTGTCATCCATAATATCATAATGCACTTCAATGCATTGACAAACAAACGAAGATACCGACGTTGGTCAAATTAGCGCTTTTCATTCATTCTTTGCATCAAGCCTTATGGTCACTTTGTGATGCAGAAAAACAAAATTCGCTCAACTCTTTGTACAGCCAGAAAATCTATTGTATTTACTGAATTTGTACTTTTGAAATAATAAAACTAGCATAAAACGAACTCTGGTCTAGCAGATGGTGCGATGTTTCACCTCTCTGGGACGGAGAAGATTAAATAATAGTCAGACAATCTATATGCTTATGTCCTTGAGTTTTGACATTCATACCGCAAGCTTATTACTCTTAATTTGTTTCAGCTAGGCATCTGAAGGAGATAAAACATTAACTGATGCAATCTGTACTTAGTACCTAGTGGGTGGTATATTAGTATGTAATTCTGTCATTCACTACCACTTCCCTCTAGTTTACATATCTGCCTACCCAAAAAACATATCATTTACAGTCAATAAAGATACAAGCCTTAGCTGCAAAGCGTGATCCTTTCTTGCAACCAGTGAGGCTAAAAGTCGTCCTCATTTGTTATCGCCGTTGCCATACGTTATCGAGTTCTTTGTGAAAAACGCGTTTTCTGTGCTCTGAATCCATTATCTAACCATACACTTTTCCGAATATGGTCCATCATTGGATCGTGTTTCATGCCGTTTATTAAGGTGCAAAGTATTGATCACACTTCCAATTCTGAAGTGAAAAGTAAGCAGAGTTGCTTATGAAGCAGGATGCTCAGAAATCAAAGTGAGTTTATCTACGCCTCAAAAAAGCAGATTGGAGATTCCATTGTTTTCGAAAACAAGTCACGTCGTATTTGGCTGGGAATTTAGTCGCAAACGAAGCCGAAGGAGGGCTGAGATGTTCATGTAGGTAAGGGGTTATCAATGATGCAGCGCTGATAATGAGAACCTTTACTGCGAATCAACTAACATGTAGGACCTCACTGACAACTAAGAAAGAAGTAGGGAATCATCTTGGGGCGGTTAGTAGAGGCATTCGGGTTTACTTGGGACTTAAAATGAAATTATTTAAGTGTATCATAGTACAAGTTGTCATGCTTCTTTAGATCCACGCGATGACCGGTAAGTAATAAGAAATAGGTGCTCAGCTTGCCTAAAGACAAAAGAAGTGTGTTAAAGTAGTGCCTCAGGTGAACTGACTGAAGATGGATGAGTTCAACAAACATTTTCTTTGGAAACACCTTTCACACCAAAGCTGTACAGAAGCTCACATGTAGGCGTGTGAGCATGTATAGCGGTCTTTGCCCTTCTGATGGATTGAAATTTTAGTGGGGAAGCCGAAATGCGTGAACTTAAAATAAGGCATTTGTTTAAAGTGAAGTAAGACAGGTCCTACCTCTGGTTATTTCCATTCCATTTTTTGCAAATATGGGAGTAAACCGGTGCCTAATTATGTCTTCTTTTAATCACCACTTCCATGCAAGTGCAGCATGAAAACACTTACTTAGACTCAAGAACTACCATAGTTCGTTTGACTACGGTCCGCGACGGCTACTCACAGCAGTAGTTAACCGCAGTAAAATACGGTGCACACTGCGTTTTACAAGCGGCACTTTTGTCACTTGCTGTGTTCGCCTTACATTAGAAGGCTAAGCAGCCCAGAGTGCCTCAGACGTAATACACCTTAGTTGGCGGTGGCGTGATATTATGCTACGGAATCCAACAACTACGAACAGTTAGTACACCTCTCTTGCCAGCGAAATTGGTTGTTTTTTTAATAACTGGTTGACCTGCAAAAAACTGGGTGTACTTGTCAACCAAAGTCGAATCTTCGTGTCTACCGACTAATAGGGTGTAATAACTACGTTGTTCGGCAGTCTATGAGTTAAACGATAAATCTGCTCTGGATAACTGAAAGGTATACATGCACTTACTTCAGCTGGACCAATGTTTTCATTTATTCGTGACCATTTTATCCCACTTAAATTTATGGACGCATGCCACTCAACCCTACATCACCTTTTGACAATATAAAGTATATGATGTGTACAAATTATACATCTCTAAGAACATGAGTCACACGAATTCAATTTCGCATTCCAGCAATTTCCAACAAAGCTTATCTTCGCAGTACCTACGAACAATATCACTCATGGCTTCAAACCTAACATAGTAACAAGCGCCAAGTCCTCAACCATGCTAGATCAGTTAAAAGTAGAAATTAAAATAGGCAAAGATAAATGTTGGTATATACATCATACCCTATTATTTGACAAGTTTGACCTTCACCCTTTCATGTAACATTTGTTGGGCTCTATTCCTATAATGCGTTCTATCTCCTGGCTTTCGCTTTCGAATTTGCCGCCTCCTCGCTAACACTACCACCCAGATAATGTGTATCGTTCAATTACTATTTGTCCGTTGGGTTTCTAGTCGAACATACGGCTTCGGTAGCACGCCTACATTCCACTCTCTTCTCTGCAATCTTTTAAACCTGGCTACACGACTGCTCATAAGCTCTTATTTCTTCCCCACGCAGTCTCCTCCATGTCACCCTCGGTCACCTAGCTCTCCGTTTCCCATCTAGGTTCCACGCGACGGCCTGATCCGGCGCATGATGTCTCCGAATGGCCTTCCCAGTGTGTGCCCAATCCATCTCCACATCCTTCCGCATATTTGTTGAGTGATAGGTTCTTGGTCGGTTGGTCACCAGCCAGAGCTCCACGTTGCTTATTCTTATTATTCTGGTCATCTGAGCCTCAATAACGAGAGTAGGCAGTTGTTGATGAGTGTCTGCAGTTTGTTGGAAATGCCTTTCGCGACGTGTCAAGTCTCTGAAACATCACATATAAGCACTGACTTGACTGAATTGGTGTTGAAAATCCGGATCTTGTCCTTTATGCCGAGTGCAGATCTCCACGCTGGTTTCAGGTCAATGAACGCTTCTCTTACTTTCCCGATCTTGTCTGGCTTTGACGTCCTCGCCTGTGCCTGTGCCGCCTGTAGTTGAGACAGTGCTGTCTAGATAGGTGAGGGGGATTACTTCCTTGATGTTCCTCCTGTTCATGGTGATTAAAGCTTGTTGTTGTGATTGGTTGAGTATCTTCATCACCTCTGTCTTCTCTACATTCTTTTGAAGTCCCGTCCTCGCTGCTCCGCCTCTTCTTTCAGCTTGTCAGTTTTTGCCTGTACATCTTCAAGTTTGTGTGAAATTGAACACAAGTCATCATCGGCGAAATCCAAATATTGCAGGATCTTTTACCCGGTCCAACGTATGCCCATCTTCTCGCTTCTCACGGTTGGTTGCACGATCCAGTCGACCATAGTCAGGATGGTCATGGGTGATAAGGGCAGCCTTATCTTACTTCTGCCTGTCTCCACTTCAAAGGCATCAGCTGGCTACCCACTGTGAATCAGTCAGCATGCTGCGCCTTCATACAGCTGTGGAATGAGGCTGATAAAGGCTTGTGGTATTCCGTGGCGTTGAAGCGACCACCAAAATACTTCTGGCTTGACGCTGTCGAATGCTTTTTCAAGGTCGATGGAATTGGGGCTGAGTTGACAGCCATTCTACGCTCCGTTCTATGATGATGCGTAACGCAGCGTTGCAATTTGATTGACACATGACTTGTACTTGCCGAATCCAGCCCATTCTGGCAGACGTTTTGAATCGAGTGCATCCTTTAGTCTCCCCAGGATGATGCAGCATAATATTTTGCTTAGGGTGGATGGCAGCTTGATTCCACGCCAGTTCCTGCCCCTCTTCAGGAGTTTCACAAGATAGCTCCTCTTTTAATTTCCAGGCACCTCTCCTTCCTTTCAGATTCTCTGCGACTGCGTTGTTAGCAAGTCCTCTGTTGTCCCATCGTCTGTTCCCAGTGCTTCTGGTTGGATTCCATCTGATCCTGCTGCTTTCCGCGTTTCAGTAGCCTAGCGGCGTTCAGGATGCCGACTTTTGTTGGAGGATTTGGGTTCACTGGTAGTTCTGTGACTGCAGTTGATTTATCTAGACGAGTTGCGAGAGGTCGTCGATTCTAGGGCTTTCTGAGGTGGTCAGTCCATCGTTTCCTTTGTTTCTCTCCTTCGGTAATTAGACTTCCTTCATCATCTTTTATTGGTTTCATCTGTGTTGGTCTCCTCTCAGATAGTAACATGGTTATTTGATATAGTGTTGTTAGGTCTCTTCTACCACCAGCCTGTTCTACCTTACTTGCCAATGTGTTGTAGAAGTGTCTTTTGTATTTTCGTGCACTCTTCTTCACTTCTTTGTCCAGTGTAGTGTTTTATACATTGTACTCAGTTGGTCTTTTCGTTGTACATCCCTGCACTGGTTCATCTTCTGCTTCACCATCTTCCGCTCCCTACTCTATCAGCTTCCATGCGTTCGTCGAGATCCATTCCTTATCTTCTTTCTTCTTCCTTCCTAACACGGTTATGCAGGTTTCTTTCCAAATAGCCCTGAAAGAGTTCCAGTGTTCATCCAAACAGGTTTCTTCAGGGTTGTTGCTCGATGTCTCCCAATTTGTTCTGATGGTTGACGTGGAGATGTTCTCTGTGGTTTCGTCCTTAGGTGCAGTTTCTGTTATAATAATAATAATAATAATAATAATAATAATATATTTCATGCAACAAAGGTTACATGAATACAAACCAGTTTACAGGTTTGATCACTTTGGTAATGAGAGATGACTATTATGTACAATGTTATGCTATACATTAGATGCTGTGATTTATGGCATATAGGAGGCATGTTGAAGCAGGCTCAGTTCGAATTTGAAGATTATCCGGTCATCGTTTGAATCATCCAATATTCTTGAAGGTGAGGCCGCATCACATTCATGACCTTGGGGTGTGCGCGTTCGTCATCAGGTTTCGGTGCCAATATTTCCCACTGACGAATGCGATTTGTAGGATTCCATTTGAATGCAGGACTGGTTAAGTAAATCTGAAAAGTGAATAACAAAAGCGAGCAGCAGGCGAAATTTGTAACAGGGGCACAAAAATACGCAGGAGTAGATCGACCATGATACATCTGGGTGAGTTTGTACTGACTATTAAACTTACTTGAGGAAGTGTCCAGAACCAAC